TTCCCCCTGGAAACTGGTAGAATATTCTAATGCATCTGTGAGGTAAACATATTTGACTTCTAGCCAAGCTGTCAAAATGCACATCTGATTTATGTAGCAGATCTGGTGTAACACGACAGCCATTACACGCAGCCATGAATGAGGCATTAATATCCACAAATCAGTGTTCAAAGCAGTTTGTTTAGACGTATGCAGACCATGAGGTATCTGCATACATCCCAGCTTGAACAAAACGTCCGTCTGTTGCTCTACAGAAGACAAATTTCATCACTACTGCAAAGTGCTCCTCTGCCCGGGAAATGATTGAACAGTTCAATTGTGATACAATTAAGCTGTAAAAATATTTCCCAGTCTCTTGAATCTTTGTCTACATGGTATAGATGGCACAGGCTCCGTCCATCGAAAGGAATGGAATGAGATTTTTCACTGTGTTCATTTCTTTGGGGGTATAATTACATTTGGGGGAAAATAAATCTTTAACCCAAAGCTTTAACCCAACTGAGCATGCTGGCATCACCTACTTATATAATAAATACATGTCTAATAAATAAATGTCTAAAAAAGAAAACTTCATGGCAATAGGATCACATTAGCAGGGGTCAAGAGTTTATATCAATGCCTGTTAGAGCCCTCTCCAAAGCAGTAGGCTGTTTTCAGGTCCACTATGGAGATTTGCTTTCTTATGCAAGCAAATGCGGTTCACCTCAAGGGAAAAGAAAACAGATCGTCTGATCCTTCACAGTGGGTCTGCACGCCACACTGCTAATCATGAAGAAATCATGGAAATACACCAGGTGTAAGGCACCACAGTTTAAATCCAGCAGAACGTTCCCTATAGCAGCCCTGGGGAGCAGGTCCTTCTGAGGATAATAAAATGCTATAGGAAAATGCAAAAACAAAATGCAGAACGATTAATTAAATAAAGGGCATCTGTCCAAGAAACCTGTAACAACTCTATGAAATGAGTTTTCAGCACCATAATGCACATTTTCTGTTTTGTTTCACAGCAAAACCATTACATGTAAGTGTTGCCTTTGAAACAGCAGAAAAAGACACTGATGAATGTTTCACAGAGGACCAGAGGTTGCCAAAACTAACAGATTTCTGTTTAGAGACCCTCACAGTGAAATCCCTATGAAGTAGCAGAGCTTGAAGAGTAATTAGCCACAACCATAACAAAACAGTGAGCCACTCACCACTCAAATCTCTATGACTTCTCTGTTGTTTTAACTGTCATTGGTCTTGCTGGTGGTTGAGAAAGGATTGTCCATGAAAGAATCACTTAGCACAACACAAGCCAATGTAACAAGAAAAAGAAAGGATATTTCTCATGGCATACTAATCACAAATTGAAAACAATTATCAACACGTTGCCTGTTCCCATTCTTTGCAGCCTTTTCAAGCAAACATTATTCCCAGTAAAATTCAAGTGGCGGCAATGGAGCTACATCACAGATGAATCTGGCCCACCATCAGTCATCAAAATCACAATGGGGAATTAGCTAGAGTCTAGAGACTAATATTCATGTTCTCTAGGCTGTGGGGACAGGGTAGGAACTTTCCCTTTTCTTTTAGGCCTTATTTACACTGGAGTATTTCCTTGAGAAGTGGGTGCAGCTCCATCACCAAGAGCAACAATGGGAGGGGAACTAAAGAAGTACAATCTACTACTGTGTTAAGTCTCTATCCATGGTGTAGACCAGGCATTAAGCTGATTATATATCATATGAATTACCCTGACAGGAAGTTTTTTCTAATGTCCAACTTAAGCTTCCCTTACTGCATTTTATGCCCTTTGGTTCTTGGCCAATCCTCAGTGGTTAAACTGTGAACAATTTATCTTCGTCCTCCTTATAATAATCTTTTTTATGTACTTAAAAACAGTTATCATGACCTTGCTCAGTCTTCTCTTCTCCAGACTAAACAAACCCAGATTTTTCAATCTTCCCTCATCTATAGGTCATGTTTTCTAGACCTTTCATCCTTTTTTTTTTTTACTGGATTCGCTAAACAGTCTCCAATTTGTCCACATCTTTCCTGAAATGTGACACTCCTGTTCAGGCCTAATCAGTTCATATTAGAGTGAAAAACAATATTTATTGTTTGTTGCTTACAACACTCCTACCTATACATCCCATAATAATGTTTTGGGGTTTTTTTGCAACAGTGTTACACTGTTGACTCATATGTAGTCTGTGATCCACTATAACCTCCAATAGTGCATCTACACAGCAGGACTTAGCTCAGTTTGCATATCTTATTTTGAGTGATGTCAATTGTGTAGCTTATTTCAAAATAGCTTATTTCGAAATTGGGAGCATCTACACAGCACTTATTTCAAAATAGAGTGTTCTTCCTCTAACTTCCCTTACTCCTCATACAATGAGGGTTACAGGAGTCAGAATAAGCAGTCCTCCAGCTTGACAGTATTTCCACGTTATTTTGAAATAACTGTCTGCTGTGTAGACATGGACTAAGTTATTTTGAAATAACTCTAGTTATTTTGAAATAATGTTGCTGTGTAGACATACCCCAAGAGAGAGTACCCTTCTCACAGTACCTCTTCCTAGGCACTCATTTCCATTTTGTGTGTATGCAACTAATATTCCTTCCTAAGTGCATTACTTTGCATTTATCATTATTGAATTTCATCCTAATTACCTCAAACTATTTCTCTTAGGTAGACCATTTTAAATCTATCCTCCAAAGCACCTGAAAGCCCTCCCAGTTGGGGTCATTTGCAAATGTTATAGGTGTACTTTCTATGCCATTATCTAAATCAATTATGAATGTGTTGAACAGAACTGGATCCATAACTTATACCTGAGGGACCACACTCATTCTTCCCTTTCACTGTGAACAAAACATACCCATTCCTGACTCTGAGGGTATGTCTATACTGCATCCATCTGTCGGCAGAGGGATGCAGATTAGGCAGGTCGACATTGCAAATGAGACAGGGATTTAAATATCGAGTGCCTAATTTGCATAAAAATGGCCACCACATTTTGCCGACTCAGCACTTTGTCGGCAAAAAGCGGCAGTCTACAGGGGTATCTGTCGAGAAAGAAAACCTTTTTCGACAGATCCCTTATGCCTCCTGCCGATATTTAAATCCCTGCCTCGTTTGAAATGTCGACCTGCCTAATCTGTATCCCTATGCCGACAGAGGGATGCAGTCTAGACATACCCCGGTTGATAGAAGCTCAGATACCAAACTGACAAATCTTTTCAGAATTGTCATTCTAATTTTGAATGGAAGCCCCTGGTGACAGAGTCCATGTACACTGAGCAACTCAATTAAGTAATTAAGTGAAAGTTTTCAATATAAATGTGTTTTCTTATCCTCCAATAAATTACCAAAATCTAAAACATGAAATTAGAAGAAAAACTAGTCCTATCAAAGTTCTGACTTGAGTAACATAGTCCTTGTTGCATAAAGTAATAAGAATCAGATATTTTGGTATATAAGACTTTTCCTTTTCCTCACTCAACCCCTCCAAAGTTGAACTTCAGAACAGAATGCCTTTAACATTACATAGAAACGTGATGCAACATTTCCTGACACTTTATATGAACTTATATCCTAACATTAATTATGAATTTTGCCTTCCTTTGCTTCTCCCCTTGTTAAAGTCAGCTGCCATCTTGGCCTTCCGGCCCACCCTTTGGACACTTGAGTATTCATTAATTACAGCATATCAGGAGAGCATTCTTGTAAAAATGCCTCTCTCACCAAAACTACCCACAAATTGCAAAATCAACATTGAACTATTTTGTAGCCATTACTCCTCTGACAGAATTTGAACCTAACTTCCTCTGATCCAAGGTACTGAGACAATTTACTGACTCGTTACAAAAATAAAAGCAGCAATGTCTGAAAGAATTACCTCTACTTTGGGCTACACAATTATATGAAATGGTTTCCTTTTCAGTTGCAAGAACAGTAGTTCTTTGACATCACCTTTTTTCTAATGCTGTCAAATATTGGCCTAAATGAAAATTGGGTCTCTAATTAGCCTAACTGGAAATCAGCTTTGTTGCCTTATCTTGGCATTATATTTTCAGATTTGTTTACTCAGAAGTATTGCTGATTGATTTAACTAAATCTTCATCTCTCCCTTTAACTCTGTATAGGCTATTATTTTGCTTTTTTCATAACAGCAAATAATACTCTCTGACCACTGGTGTAACACATTTAGTAAAAATCTGTATTTCTATCAAGTTTGTTTGCTTATATTTTGCAAAGAAAAAGAGGTAATTTTACTCAGTAAATAACAGTGAGAACTACACACTCCTTCCAATGACTGCTGGTCTTCCTTCGCAGGATACTCCTCCCCTAATCTCTACAAATAGGAGTAAGCAATTGGGCTGTGCTTTCTGGAAGCCTGATATTCAAACAGGAAGCTCCCATTGGCCAGTGTCTGTCCAGAAACTGGTCAATCGGATTGTGCTGGGGGGCGGGAGCAGCATCTGAATCTTCTCTCCTCCCCTCCGAACTCCAGGAGAAAGCACCCCGCAACTGTTTTTGAGCAGTGTGTGGGGCTGCGGGACAAGCGGGGGAGTCTGTCTGGATCGTATTTTGCCCAGGTCTGTGCTAAAGCATAATCACCAACAGGAACAGATGTTAGCAATGCTGCAGATAACAGCAACACTTTGGAAAGAATCTTCTTTCTTCAGCAGAATGTAAACATGAAAGCAAGATATCTGATAATATATCCACTAAAATCTACTTCTTTCACAGACTGCAGAGATGACTATGCACCCACAACAGGCTGGAAAAGAGTTAACATGATGGGTAAGCTTGAGAAACAAGAACCTTATTTCATATAGTCCAGCCTCCTCCTTGTCTAGTGTCATTGCTTGCTTCATCCACTCATCTTACACCTAACTTAATGATAATGCCCAAATCGTTTCTATTATTTGTCATCTGTAGTGAGTATATTTATCCTCATTCTACTGATGATGAACAGAAGACACAGAGAGTTGAAGTGATTTACCCTATGTCGTGTTCTTTGTGTCCTTTTGTGTAACATTCTTCTGGCTGGATCTGTGTCTCTGTTCTCCCAAAAGGCCCATGCTTACCTAAAACACACAACCAAACTTTCTGTTTAAAAGTACTAGGAAAAAACAAAGAAATCTACGTAATAAATAGATGTTTTAAAAAATCATTGAGACTTCTACACACTGCAGTTCTCATTTATTCAGCTAGAGGACACTGCAAAGTGATAATTAGGTGCTAAACTTGAGCCATATTCCTACAGATAGCCCTCCTAAAAAGTCATTTAGCACCTAATCAGGTGTTAAAGGTAAAAATTATGAGTTTTTCAACAGCATTTAGACCCTAGTATATTATAAAATAGGGCTTGTCTACATGGTGGAGTTTTACCAGTTATATCAATATAGGTATAAAGATATCATTATAATGGTATATTCCCTGAATGACACGCATATTGCAGTATACAAGGGTTATTCTAGTTTAATTTAACCTCTTCCCAAATGATGTAGGTTAAGCAAAAAAGCAAACACACAACCATATTTCTATATCAGAATAAGGTCTTGTCTATACCTTTTGGCACAGTAACATTGGTTAGGAATATAGAAAATAAATGTCATCTCCTTAACCTATATAGTTTGCCTGAAAAGCCTTCATATAGATGCAGTTATCCTAGCAAAAGGACTTATTTCATTTGGGTAACTGATATAAACTATACTATCAGAATAACTTTTGGCTACACAAGCTGCATCACCAGAACGAGGGTTGATCAGAAAATGCTTTCTAATGCAGACAAGACCTAAGTGTGCCAACACAGGCAATTATGCCAATACTATTATATCAAGTGGAGGCCTTGCCTACACAGCACTGTTTTGTCAACAAAAGTCAGCTTTCACAACAAAACAATGGAGGTGTAGACTCACTGTAGTGTGGCCTCTGTCAATTTAACTCTTATGCCTTGAAAAGAGGCATAGAGCTTTTTGTGACATTAGCTCAACACAGTGGCTATGTCTAAACTGCATCCCTCTGTCGACAGAGGGATGCAAATCAAGCACATCAAAATTGCTAATGAAGCAGGGATTTAAATATCCTGGCCTTCATTAGCATAAAGGTGGCACCTGCTTTTTTCCCAAAACGGAACTTTTTCGAAAAAAAATCAGCAGTCTAGATGCGGATCTGTCAAAAATAAACTCTTTTTCGACAGATCCTGTATTCCTCAAAAAATGAGGTTTACAGGTTCTGCCAAAAAAGGGTTTATTTTTGACAGATATTTAAATCCCTGCTTCATTAGCAATTTTGACGTGCCTAATCTACATCTCTCTGTTGACAGAGAGGTGTAGTCTAGACACAGCCTGTGTTAGCATAGACACTGTGCTTGATTATATCACTGTAAATGGCCCCCAGAAGGTGTCCCAGAACTGGTCAGCAGTTTGGACTCTACTGCCTGTTGCCAGGTACACAGGCATCTGCTCCTCCCCCTTTGGAGGACTGGGAGTTTTTTAAATTCCATTTCCTGTTTGCTTGGCGTGGACAGCTCATCTTGCATCTTCCCAGCTGACCATGGCAGTTCCATGCAGCAAATGCTTTCTCACTTGGAGAACAACAGAGTTGTTTGGTACCCTGGGACTGTGGAGAGAGGAGGATATGCAGTCTCAGCTCTGCTCCAGCTGTAGAAACTTTTGTATCTATGATCAGATTTCTTGTGGCATGTTGGAGAAGGGCCCCAAACAAGACACACATCAATGCCATCCAAAGATCAAGGAGTTGAGGCAGGCATACCAGCAAGCAAGGGAGGCAAACTGTCACTCTGGTGCTGCACTGAAGACCTTCCACTTCTACAATTAGCTGGATCTCATCCTCTGTGGTGACCCCACCTCCACCACTAAGATCCCTAGGGATACTTCAGGGGAGTTGGAGACAGGGCCCAGTCGATTGAAACTTCCCTTGTATAGCTAAGCAGTGGGAACCTGTGGAAAAATTTGTTAATGTGCACTGAGATTTCATGTGATTTCATAGAGAAGATCACTTTCGTGGAGGCACTTGACAGGTTCCTTGACAGAGCTGCTTCATTTCTTCCCCTACTGTAGGAACTTTGTGCCATGCCAATCAATAATCACTTGTGCAGAGTCCAAAGCAGCATACAGGCAAGCAACATAGTAACCCTATCTGAAGCAACACAGATGCACGATATGCACCCTTGCATACTTGTTTACCCTCAGGAATGAGATATTGGGTTCAATTACCCCTTTCTGTGGAAAGTGGTGGAGGAATTTACAATAGGGTCCCCATTGGCATAAAGTGATCCCATTAAAAACACCTTGACCTTTTTCCCCCATTTTTGACTCTCCATCCTGGACCAAACTCAGCATATTTTGGGTGCTCTCTGAGCTGTGTTCTTGCAAGGGAGAGGGGGAACCCACAAGTGTTCCATTGCCCATATATACCATTCTCACTCACACACTTCTTCCTGACAACGCATGGTTGCTTAACCAGGTGACAGTCCACATGACATCGTGGGCACCTGTTTCAGGTGTTGGCTGGTCTTTTTTTCTACAGGGAACTAGTGTGAAGCTGTTTCCCCAGACTTGGAACATGTCCTATACAATAGAATTTTATAACTTTCCATAAAACATTGCCACACATATTTTACCAGGACAATAATGTTCAGCATATTACGAGTTTTCAAATTATCTCTCAGGCCATGTAAATGGCTTGAAATTAACTTAAACAAGCCAGAGATTGCCCTAGAGGACTCTACTGCACATGAAGATTCTAAGTGAAACAAAGAGTAAGGGGAGGAGGTGACGTCATCTGGGAGTGTGGAGCAGTGGCTGGCATTGTGATGAACAAAGCACTACTATGTCTGAATCCCCATTAGCATGAAGCGTATGTCAACAGTAGAGTATAGATTAGGTCCCTACTGCTCTAATGTCTGACAGGGCTGAGTATTCGTGGATCAAAGAGCTGAATCCACCTCTGCTGTGCTGTGCTGTACATCACTCAAAAATCAGGACCAGTCCTATTAATTATTCTCTCTTCTTTAGGATGTTCAATTCAGTGGCTGACCTTATGAAAATTACTAACTTAGCTTTCACCAGAGGCAATATAGCCAAGGTCCATACAAATATACATTTATACTTCTATAACTGCATTGTCTTTGATAATCAGTGCTCCGCTTGGCAACCACAGCATCTCACATACAGTAAGTCTTCTGTGCAGAAATGAAAACAAACAGTTAAGGAGCAATCACTTAAGAAAAACTTTTTCAACAAAGCTGTACCAAATGGCTTCAAGCTCATCTTTCTCTGTAAATAAAGTGATGAAGAGAATGAGATGTTCATTGAAGTGCTCAGGGCCAAAAGACATCCCGACAAGTCTAACAAATGTAAGCACATTTAGAAAATGTTTAAAGTAAGGAAACTATTTCAGAAATA